GAAAAAGAATGACACTAATCGAGCAAGTGGCAGATGTGTGGTTGAAGGTTGTTCTTGGAGGATTCATGCATCTTGGGTTGAATCTGAACAGGTATTTAGGATAAAAAAGATGAATAAGGCACATACATGTGGAGGGGAATCATGGAAGCATGCTACACCAAATAAAAATTGGCTGGTCAGCATTATAAAAGATAGGTTAAGACAGATGCCGCGCCAAAAACCAAGGGATATTGTCAATGGCCTTTTTCAAGATTTCGGGATGGAGTTGAACTATTCTCAAGTGTGGCGTGGAATTGAAGATGCAAAGGAGCAGCTTCAGGGTTCGAAGAAAGAGGCATATAATCTGTTGCCTTGGTTTTGTGAAAAGATAGAGGAGGCTAATCCTGGCAGCTTTGTGAAGCTTTCCATTGGTGATGACAGCAAATTTCAACGTCTTTTTGTATCCTTTCATGCCTCAATACTTGGTTTCCAGAATGGCTGTTGCCCAATTCTCTTTCTTGATTCTACAACATTAAAATCAAAATACCATGAGATTTTGCTGACAGCTACTGCATTAGATGGTAATGATGGGTTTTTTCCAGTTTCTTTTGCTATAGTGGATGTTGAGAATGGTGATAATTGGAAATGGTTTTTGGAGCAGTTGAAAGATGCAATTTCAACTTCACGATCAGTAACTTTTGTCTCTGATAAAGAGAAGGGGTTGATGAAATCAGTGCTTGAAATATTTGAGAATGCTCACCATGGTTACTCTATATACCATCTGCTGGAAAACCTGAGGAGGAACTGGAAGGGGCCATTCCATGGAGATGGGAAAGTTTCTTTGCCTGGAAGTTTAGTGGCCGCTGCCCATGCAGTCCGGCTTGATGGTTTTAGAATGCATACTGAGCAAATTAAACGGGTTTCTTTGAAAGTGTATGATTGGCTTATGCAGATTGAACCAGAATACTGGACAAATGCACTATTCAAGGGAGAGCATTATAATCATATCATAGTAGATGTTGCAGCGACATATGCTGACTGGATTGAAGAAGTGCGGGAGCTGCCTATCATAAGGAAGTTGGAAGTGCTTACATGCAAGATAATGGGGTTGATCCACACTTGTCAAAGGGATTCAAATGGCTGGACCACAAAACTTACTCCATCAAAGGAGAAAAAGCTACAAGAAGATGCTTTCCGAGCACAATTTTTAAAAGTACTATTCTCAACCGATACATTATTTGAGGTTCATGATGACTCTATTCATGTTGTGGATACTGAAAAAAGGGAATGCACTTGTCTTGAGTGGAAACTGACAGGGCTACCTTGTCGCCATGCTATTGCTGTCTTCAAATGCAAAGGCAGTAGTGTATATGATTATTGTTCAAAATACTATACTGTTGATAGCTTTCGCAGTACATATTCGAAATCCATACTCCCTATTTTAGACAATTTCAAGGATCTGGATGAAGAAAAGGATGCCCCAGAGTCGGTGCAGGTGCTTCCTCCTACTACCCCAAGGCCTCCAATCCAGCCAGAGGAAAAACGATATTACTACAGAAAGGGAGAACCCACAAGGGTAATGTCTTGCAGCAGATGCAAGGGAGAAGGGCACAACAAGGCTACATGCAAACAACCCGCCCAACCATCAGAACATACTACAACCCCAGCTCCAGCATTAGCCCTTGATGCCCTAGCACTAGCCCTTGATGCTCCAGCACTTGCCCTTGATGCCCCAGCACCAGCCCTTGATGACCCAGCACTTGCCCTTGATGACCCAGCACTAGCCCTTGATGACCCAGCGCTTGCCCTTGATGCCCCAGCCCCAGCCCTTGATGCCCCAGCCCCACCTCCAGGTGGCAGAGATCCAACATTGATAGCCGAACCCTTGGAACATGAAGAGCCAACATTGATAGAGCCCTGTCCTGGTAGTCCGAGCTCAGCTAAAGTTCCTTGATATGCTCAATTCACTACTAAAAAATGGGACTTTGATGGGACTGTCCTTCCATTATAGGCAATAATGTACACCTTTATGTTTATGCAGGTTATGTAGTCTCACCATTATATCAGCTCGGAAGTGCTCTGCGCTTCATATAATGAATGAAATATTGCTGTGTCAGTGTGAAACTGCCTTATCTTTTTGTTGCCTGAACAGCAGGAATTCTAACATTCGAGGTGGCACTTTCCTGGAACCATTTCTGCCGAAACTGGACTGTGAGATGCTGAAAGTCTACACAATCTGGTTGTGGAAACGGCATTGATTCATGACTCATGGTCCTGAACTCCTGGCACATGAGGAAAAAAAGAGGAAATCCTATGAATGCCTTCTACTTCGTGCAGGGGATGAGGGCAGCTTCCATAAACTTGGGGGCATCAAGAAGTTTACCACCCTGGGACAAACTGCAGTTTGCCTCTTTCGTATATTAGATTGTTAATGGTATTATTTCACTTAATTACATATGGAATCGATTTTTGTGATATTTCTTGTAGCTGCATTTCCTTTTTGAACTGAAATTCATGGCACGAATTTTAGTTTGTCAATCATTGCAAGAATGGAAGCTTGCTTTGTTTGCATTGAATGGAGCCTACCTATATACAAGTCAATTTGAATCAAGGATTCTTGTAGATATATGGTACCAGCGGGTATTTCAGAGGCACTTTTCCTCTGTCAAGGGGAAAGTAGTGGCCAACCCTTTAGAAATGTGTGAATCTCCACCCCGAGTGGTCATTTCAAAAAGGAAATGACTCCACCCCTTGAATCTAAATGCAAATATGCGTCTTCTTTCGTTGGCTGCATTTTATGCAGCGAGAGATGAGAGTAAAACATGGTGCCTTCTCTTAAATTAGTAACTCTCATCTTTTCTGGCAGAGAATTTGACAACCTTTTCGGCTCATGTATAGCAATAGCTTGTGCTTGTGCCTTGGCTCTCTCGTCGTAGTTTTTTTAACTAGCAGCATTGTGGAATTGACAACACCAAGGGGGGCGTATTACATGCCACCCTAGTCAATCCTATATATCCCTGTTCAAAACTACCATGCAGGAACAACTTGAAAAAAGATAAAGACATACGACATTGTCGTTCTTGAATTTAAACTGCCACTCTTCTTACACCAATACAATTACAACATGGTCAATTCATACAACAAAAACTACGATGGTCGTTACTAATATTTTGTATTTGTTGCACCGCCACTTCATACACCAATACAAATGTGTGTACAATGCTGTAAACTCATACAACAAAAACAAGATTGTCATTTACTAATATTCTCCTGAAAAAGCCGCCTTAACTGGTGTCCATACCTAGACAAAAACTATGGTATGTCTCTCTAGGCCTAGCACTAAATGAGAGATACTGCAGGTCATGCTTCTTTTTCAACATTCTTGACAGCAATGAGACTGTGAAGGACCGCAGATCAAAATTCTCTACCACAGCTTGCTAAGACTATTTCAACCACCTATACCTCTGTCCAAGTTCCCCATCTTAAGTATGCTATGTCTGTTCTAGATAATTAATAGCATAGACGTAAGTCAACAACACATTACTCTTGTTCTCTGGAGGCATCTTCTTCAGAGAGCAAGCCCGAGCACAATGGACAGGGAGGGTCACGCATATCTTCAAGACTTGTTTTCTGCTCCAAACATTCTGAATGATAAACATGGCCGCAGACTAGAATGGCCACAACAGAGAATTCGCCAGCAGTTAATGCATTGCCTATAAAGTAAGGTTTCCTTCTCACTAGTTTCTGACAGATTCCACATACTACCTTCAGTGCATCAGATAAAACTGCATCCATAACCAAGGAATTGAATCTAACCCTGTCTGGCCTGCTAAATTCTAATTCCTTGTTTCCTGAAAAGGTGGAAAAGAATTTAAGTCAACGCAAGTAAATGTAAATAGCTGATATTTTGAATCTTAAAGTTGCATTGAAACTTCATAATAATGAAAAGTAGATGTAAAACTCCTGCATCTTGTGCGCATAGAAACTTGCTCCGAACTTGTAAAAAATGATACCACTCTGATGTTTTGTGGAATAACAGAGAAATTCTTTAGGTACCCCATTTGTTCATAGATGTGTATAAAGCAGCTAGATGCTACTTTATTTCCTTGGGGAGAGAAAAAACATTGTATTCAACACCATGCAATTATGAATATCTCACCCATATGGCAACCAGGCTCAGAGCCTAGATGACTGCTCAACTTGAATGTAAGCCTCTCATCACATGACAGGGCAGCCTTCCCACGAGAAGTTGATGCATCGGCATGACTCCCCGAGTTTCTCCGAGAGTACTGATGACCATAGTGGTGACGTGATCGTTTCAAGACTATTGAACGACCAAGGTTGTAATTCTGACGTGCATGAGAATGGTGGACATTCAATAGCTTTAAGGAACCATCTGAAGCATCCACCCTGGGTGAGAGAGGCCTTAGCTCACTAGAGTCTAGCAAATAAGATTTCTGCAAAAGGAAAACTAAAAACAATTATTTTTCTTTTTTTCTTTTTTTTTATGAAAAAGACAATTAAATTTTTATATGGTCATAGTGAATAAAAAGAAAGAAATAAAAAATGTCAAGTCCTGCAGCAAGTATCCTGACCCGGACGTGAGTTTTCAAGTTTTCAATTAACCCCTCATCGTCAATCATGTAGGAACAATCAAAAGAGATTAAAGTAGAACATGCAATCAGAAATTACCATGTCTCATAACTAAGGAAAAAAGGACTAACCTGTCCAGCCAATAATGCCGTTCCAGAAGAGCAGGGCATGTCATCTGCACCATAAAATACAGTAATTATTTCAGTCCCAATCATTTCTACTTGCACTAAGAATGAGCTGAAAAGGAACTATTTTCAATTCTAACCAATTACTTGACACAAAAAGGTTACAATCCTTCTTCTCTAGCCAGGCCTCATGCACTTTCAACTCACACTGCATTTTTATTAACCACTTTGTCGGAAACACTGTCAAGCAGACTTGATTATAAAGTTGAAGCAAAGGAAGAAAATGCAACTAATGAATCGCCACAAAATAGGGCAAGTAACATGATTGGAAAGCTTCAACAGGTTTGTAAGAAGGTCAGCCAGCCACAAATGTAAAAGATGTACAGAACAGCTCAATGTGGAAACCCTTTAACTAGAGGCTTCCTAAGAACAGCAATAAAAAAACTCATATAATAACATTTAAATTGATGATGAGAGGACAGATTAGAAGATAAAAATAATCCAATCTATCATTGCATGGACTAGTTATCAATCTTAAAAAGCTAGAAAGGCATGCATTGAAATAGTGCTCGCGAGTCAAATCCCTGGGTGGACAGATAAAGAAAGCAATCCATCAAATAAAATTACCAATCAAGAAATCAAACTGATCCAGAGTTTAATTGCCAATTAAGATGTATTGACAGGCGGTTCCCTTCAGATAGTAAATATCTCCACCGAAAAAATTTTGTAAACCCTACGAATATAAAGACATATTGGAATATAAAGGTAAAAATCACTGAAAATGGCGGTGAACACAAGATAGCAATCCCAGAAGAGATCGCAGAGATCAGAAAGCCAGCCATGTACTGAAAAATGTTGTAAGCCAAATTAAGAGCTCAATTCATAGTTTTCTTTCCCTTTACTTTTGGCTTGGTTAATTAATTTAAACACTTTCACCTTTCTCTTCATTTCAATTTCCCCAATCTGACACTCGAAATCCATGCCATGGACTTAATCCCCGAAAAATCAATCACTTCTCTCCTCAGAATTCATGTTGCAATTGCACACATTCTCTGCTAGGATCCCAAAACACCATTTCCAACAGATCAAACAATAATTGAATTACTTAATAAACAAAAACGTAGTCGTGATAATTCAATCCAGCCTTGATCAAGGGGCAACAACCCCAAAGCATTTCTCACAGTGAAAAACATCAGAAAGATCCAGAAAAGGCAAAACAATTTCAAGAAAAGGCAGGCAAACAAACCCTAACACTAAATTTTACTGTTAAGATAAAAAAAAAAAAAAGACTCCTCTTTTATAAGACAGAGAAGAAATAAAATCTTTAATCTTCATAGCTTCATACATATCAGATTCTCATAAACCACAAAATCTCACTTCAAGAAACCCCATAATTGCTTCCCTTCACTACAGTTATAATCCCTTTGTCGAAATCCCATTTCCATTCACTCGTCAAGATTCAAAATTCCCTTTTTTCGCTTCATTTCTCACCATTTTGTCCGGCAACCAAACAACCACAAAATCATTTTTTTTTCAAAAAAGAAAAGGAAAAAGAACAGACACATTACCCGAAGAAGAATTATACTTGTTCTTGTTATAATCACCGCAACTTCTCTTTCTCTTCCCCATAACAAAAACAAAACAAACTAAAAGACTTTGATGGTTTGGTGGTGGCTAATTGTATTTAAACTGTTAAAAGGGCCTGTGAATTTGAGGTGAGAAGAACTTGTGTGTGTGATGAAGTGAACCTACGGTGATCAAACACATAGGAAGGGAAAGAGAAGCCGTCTTAAAGTGCGAAATAGTTTGTGTGCGATTGCTTGTTTGTGTCCTGGTTATTCGGGAAAAAAAAATAAAAAAACAAATAACTAATAATATTTTATTAGTTATTTTTTAAGATATATTTTTTAAAAAATAAAAAAATAAAATTTAGGATTGATAAAAAAATTTAATTATATTTTATTTTTTCTATTTATTTATTTTAAATAAATCATAAAAAATATTTAATATAATCTTACTAATTATTTCACAAATCATACATTTTCTTATTAATAATATAGTAATCCATAAATAATTTGATACTAGATGTTTAATCTCGGAAAAAAATTAAGGTTATTGAATTATTAGGTCATGATGAATTTATATGAATTATTTTTATTAAAATAAAAAAAAATATTTAAAAATATTTATTAAATTGACCAAGGTTAGTTTTGTGAGGTTGATGTGGTCGAGCCAATCACTAATTAACCCTAATTTTTCAATGGTCGGAATTGTTGTAGACAATGGTATGTTATCTGGCTGCAGGTTTTGAAAAATAATTAGCAACATCAAGCTTTCCAGGCACTTGACTGCTTTCTTTCTTCTCTTTTTATTTTTCTTATTTAATTGTTATATTTTGAATTAATATATTACAATGATATTTAAAAATTATCCAATTATGCCATACTTTTCAAATAAAAATATATTTTTATGGTAATATTGTCATTTATTTATTTTATGAAGAATTTATACAAATCTAATATGCAGATTTTAAAAAAAAATTCATGAATATTTGATGAGAGTAAAATATTTTTTATATTTTTTAATGTATTATATATATATATATACATATATTAAAAAAAATATTCATAAATATTTGATGAGAGTAAAAATTATCACAACATGTGTTTTTATTTTAAAAGTCATGCTTCTAATAAAAAGGACTTTTTTTATAAGAAAATAAAATACAAGAAAAGGGAGTTTTGCTAAAACAATACATTTTTTTTCTCGTTGATTTAAATCATTTGAATTCTTAATAATATTTATTTTAATTGTGTTAAGTCTTCATTCAAAAAACCATGTTAATAATAAAAAATGTATTTTCATAAAAAAGAAGAAGGAAATGCATTGATAAAAAGAGAATCTTGACTAAATTTTTTTTTTCTATAATTGAAATCGTTGAAAATCTTACAGATATTTTATTATAATTACCTTAGAATTACATAAAAATAGGTTTTGAAAATGTTCCTGTAACTAGTTAATGCTAAAAATATTGATAAGCTTATATCCTTGCATAGTAGTAATAATAATAATAATAATAATCTACTAAAGATTCACATTATTATTAATTTTAAATTTTATAAAATTAATCAAGATACATATAATTTAATTTGAATATTTATATTAATAATAATATTTTTTTTTAAAAAAAAAAGAACAAATCAAAATAGTCTCCATATTGCAAATGGTCTTCGAACCTTTACAGCTTGAGTTAGGGTGGGATTTGGTCACATTTATGAGATTTGGTGAGTGGAAGATTAGAAATTAAAAATAAATAAATAAATTGGAATGGAATTCAATAGGGATAAAAGGTTGTTAATTAATTCATCAGTGTTTTTTTTATAGTAGTTCAACATCAGGTTGACGTCATCGCAAACTTTTATATCTATGAAATCTGTTTTTTATTTATATTATATATAAAAATTAATTGCATAATAATTTTAATTAAATGCATATTCTTTTACATCAATAAGTATTAATGTCTCTTTGAAGAAATCTTGTGCTTAATTTTTTTTTTTGATGAAAAAAGTTTAACACCTGTGAATTAATGCAATATATACTAATTGAAATATAAATTCATTGGTGTTTTTATTATGGATTCTTGATACTTTCTCAAAGGCAATGCAAGATTTACCTAATCATCCCCACCCAACCTTAACACTTTCTGGTTGTTTTGATTACATCAAAGGGCCGAAAGGTCAAACTATCTACAATTCATAACCCCACCATACCTTATATGTGTGTGTGTGTGTGTTCTCGATTTTCACTTATCAAGTCAACGACATGCCACTTGACTGTAAGCCTCGGTGGGAGTATATCATCGGTCAAGAAATACATTATAAGATACCATATGCTGTCACGTGTTTATAAAATAAATATATTTAATAATATTATAATTATAAATCAGTATTAAATAAATAATAAAACTAAAAATATGATAAAAGTCATATTTAATAATATAAAAAAATTATATCGATGATAAAAAATTTAGAGACTATACAAAATAATTTTTAGCATTTCACAATATTTTATAAAGAAAATTACAGTATTTTTACCATATAATTTAGCTTTTTTGTTAATAAAAAGAAAAAAAATTACAAAATTAAAATTTTTACCAACTTAATATTAAAAAAAAATCAACAGAGATAATTTAAAAAAAAACTCATGAAAAAAAATATTGTCGCAATTAACAATGGTTTGTAAGTAAAATTACAATACTTTTTTCAATAAAATTGACAAAGATAATATATAAAAGATCATTTAAACAAATATTATAACAATTCATAATATTTTGTGAGAAAAATTACAACATTTTTCCCATATAATTTAGATTTATTGTAATTATAATTCTTAACCATCTCAATATTCAAAAAACAAATCGATAAAGATAATTTTGTAAAACTTATCTGGAAAAACATTAAAACAATTCATAGTATTTTTTTTAATTATAAAACTAAATTCTTAATAAGCTTGATATTAAAAAAAATAAAATTGACAAAGATAATTTAAAAAAAATAAAAAAAAATCATGTTAAAAATATTATAGCAATTAACAATATTTTGTGATGAAAGCTACACTGTTTTTCCGTATGATTTAGCATTATTTGTAATAACTTGTAATTGTAATTTTCAACTAGTTCAATATTAAAAAAATAAAATTAACAAAAATAATTTTAAAAAAATCATAAGAAAAAAAAACATATTAAGAGATATTTTAGCAATCAGTGGTATTTTGTGATAAAAAAGCTATAATGTTTTTTCATGTGATTAAGTTTTATTACAAAGTTAAATTCTAACCAGCTTATTATTAAAAAAATAAAATTAACAAAAATAATTTTAAAAAAAAATATTATAAAAAAACTGGAAAAAAAACATGTGAAAAGAAACATTATGACAATTCACAGTAATTTGTAAAAAAAATTATAATACTTTTTTTACACATTATAACTGTAATTTTTAACCAACTTGATATTAAAACATAAAATAAAAAAAGATAATTTTAGATAAAATCATTAAAAAATATAGAAAAACATTGTAGTAATTAATAATATTTTTAAAAATAATAAAATTAAATTTTAAATCAGTTTAATATTAAAAAAATAAAAAAATAATGTGAAAACATATAGCAGTAAACATCTAATTATATTATTGATTATTATATTTATTATCATTAAATTATATTGTTTTTTATATTTAATGTAACACTTAATTCACTCGTCTTGATAAGTACTATATATATCATCCAAAAAATCAGGCACTTTAGCATAAAAAGCCGAAAGCATCTCTTTGCGATTTCCAGGAAAATGAAAAACGAAAGTAAATAAAGCCAAGAAAAGGAAAAGGAAAAGGATTCTTGATGTCATGTTTCACTCACTTTTCCCGATTTTATCTACAGCTTTAATTCACAAGCATGACCAAATCTATCATGTTATCGGAATAATCACAGAGAGTACTCCAAGTATCCCTGATATTTATCAGCTGATTTCTTGTATTTACTTTTAATGTCTAGCTAATATATATATATATATATATATATATATATATAGTTAAATCTATGTTTAAAACTTATTAATTAATTAAGAGTTTATTAATTCATCGAGGTTGTTATAAAAAAATCATTTAACTTAAAAAATTTTAACTTAAAAATTTAAATTATTAGATGAGATTTCATGATATAATTTATATTATTTTTTAATATATTTTTTGGACTTAAAATTTAAATGAACTCATATTATCTTGTGTTTAATTTTTATCAAATAAATAAAAATGATAAGATTCGAACTTAAAACCATTTAATTAATTAAATTTTGATACTATATCAAAAAAATTATCTCATTTAAAAATTTAAATTATTAAATAAAATTTCATATCTATATTATTATGTAATAGTTATGTTATAATATTTTTTTGCTCTCAATAAAACATCATTAAAAGTAGATCTTATGTCTGATCTAACTGATGAAAAGGTGGAAATTGAAGATACAAATAGCTTCATTCTCCAGAACAACAGGTTTCGTTTTGTGGTGGTCAGCTCCAGCAGATCTTTTGCCAAAGTAGGAGTAATTGCCATTGAAGTTCCTCAGATTCTCTCTCAAAGAAATATCTTATCAGAGACAGAAAGAAGAATGAGGAATTTTCCTGGCATGAGTTAGTGGATGGACCATTAATCAGTCAATTTCTGCTTTCAATTCGAGCCGCACAAAGGCTAGGGCTTCCTTCTCCAAAAGGCACAAAAGTCTACAGGGTGTTCTAACACTTCCGTGTGCTCTGGGTTCCATCCTTTTTGTTTATGATATTGCGTGAGACTTTTCCTTTTTCTTCAGTTTTGCAACCAATTAGAAATCGACAGCCATCTTCCATCGTTATTGCTCGAAGAATTTCTGGGCTGCAAAGTGCAATGATCCGGTAGCGTGGCATGATATGATCAGTAAATGCTTCGTTTTATATTTATCGAAGCTTTCGATATATGCCCTAGCTAGGATGCATGCCATGTAGGTGAGACTTTTCTTTTTTTAATTAAAGTTGATGTTTGGATTAGATTTTATGTATACTAATTAATTTTAAAAATGAACAATAATATAATTTTTAAAAAAATTTGAAGAAT